GACAGTTGGAGAGCCTAAAGCTTGACTAGGCCATTTTTGTTTTAGATGCAGTAAATATTACCATGTTATCTGCCGGAATTGATTGATCAATATAATCTTATAGTTTAAAATCAGCATAACAGAGTTATTATAATGTACTACAGCAAGAGCATAAGGCCCAAATAAACATCTTTCCTGTGCAAACAGGCAATCTCTGACTTAGTGCAACAGATGTTCAGGAAATCACAGACAGAGTATAGTAAAAGCTGACTATTAGCCGATTTACCCGGGACTCCGCAGCAGTGTAAGTCTCAAAAAATAATTAGTTTTTTTAAAAACATAACATTAAAGAAAGGATTTAATAAAGTTCTTCACAGTGGATAATCATCTCCTTGCATATCTAATCATGAATCATCTTTAGCCACTGCAGAGTTAAACCTTAAGAGAGACACATAGTCTGCTCTTTTCATGTGAAACCAAGCTCATCAAAACATTTAAAAAAACCCAGTCGAGAAAAGACAAAAGTGTCCATCAACACGTAGATCTACCTGCCCCTGAGGGCAGATAATAGCCTCCCCCCCTCCAGAGCTTTACTCTGCTTTGAGCCGACTTCCCACGAACTGAAAGCTCTTTCAAAGCTGCATTTAATAAGCGCCCGGAAACAGTGATTACCCCTCCTAGTTCACCGGTGTGTCTAAATTAGAAACCTTCATTAGTTTATGACCCACCCCTGGAGACCATCCCTGCCCCCGTCCCACCAACAACCAAGGTGACCCAACCTCCGTGCCCCGGCTGTCATAAATCAAAGGCCGCAGCAAACTGCTGTGAAAAAGACGAAAGGTCAACAGACTTTGTTGACGTTCTCCAAGTATTTGTTTTTATGTAACAGCCAAAACAACAAAAAAAAGACGGCATCCTATTTGACTGATTACCATTAGGGCCGCGACTATTGATCACCACCAACAGTTATAACAAAATGTCTCATTTTTTAAAATTTGGTTTAAAAAGTGCATCACTTTTATCAAATGATATTTATATCGCTTCAACACCATTTGCTACTCTAAAGGGGGAAAAAAAGTGCTAAATCTGTCACTTATCATCACTTATGATCACTGGTTAGTATTTACACCAAAATTAAACTAAATTTAAAAAAAAAATACCAGAACTTCAGGTGTGAAGAAGGTTAAAGTCTTAACAAAGCCACCACTCTCTCACCCCCATCTTTAAACTTCATGTCAGCCATTTGTCTATTTCGGGAAGGCTCACATGAGTCTCAACAGGCCCGTCGTCTGAATAAAGATCACTGTTTCGCTGCTGGGACAAAGGGGGAGGGCACAGTTTCTTTTGGCCCCTCTTCTAGTGATCTCCACATGGCTGCCATTTAACTTCATTGACACAGAGAGACACCATCACAGAGTCACAGCTCCATTCATAGCAAAACAGAGCATGACTCCTGAAGGAGTGAGGCATCGAAATCTAGAGACTCACTGACTCAGAGGCCAGTTATTGTTACGCATAATCCTGCAGTGCACTAATAAACAAATAGTATATTGAGAAAAAAAAAAAATTCAACCCTGGGTTCATTTATCTCTAAGGACAACAGCAAGCAACCAGAGTGAAATGTGAACCCCCAACTCTCTGCTTTCCTAGCTGGTGACCAACTCCCCACCCCCACTAGTCCATAGCTAGCGCGCACACACGCACACGCACACTCTTGCTCTGCTTCACTCTCTCTGCAACACATCTTGGTCAGACAGCCCCTGTTTATAAATAGGGGAGTGTCTTTTCCAGCAGCTCTGGCAAGCCTGCTTTTATTCCAGATCAAATATCTGCTCTTTGATCTGTGTGGAAGATGTCTCCTCGCGTTTTCCGTACTCAAACACAAACACAGTGTACTATACTCACACTGGTTGTATAACATGCCAGTTGGAAAAACAGTTAAGTCTCTGCAAAGAAATGTGTTTCACATCCCGTTAACATCAAACTTTATGTGAGTTGAAAGGAAGAGGCCCTCAGGTATACGCTATATAAACAGGTATATATTATATCATCTATGAATAATTTGATAGCTTAGCATTTAAAAATATATATATTACTGACCAGTGAGATCAAATGACTGTTTTTATACACAGAAAGACTCTCGGTTAACACAGCTGACTTGTGACCTTACAGCTTTTATACTGCCAATTTTATACACGTTATATTTTATTCTGCCTTTATCAGTATTTTAGGACGGCGGTAAAATACTCTAAAGAACCGCAAAGATCTCGAGTCTTTGAGAGTACTGTTTTGATTCTTCTATTCCCTGTCCATTATTTCTTTGGCCTCCACAAAATAGGCCAGATGTTCTCCAGATGTGCAACCTTAAAACATGTGGTAATGAAAGCTCTCTCTCTTTTTTTGGGATCCAAGTAAGTTTGAAGCTATCATGTTTGTCCAGACTCTGCGTCAGAGAGTAACATTTCATAGAACTGACAACATTTTGCCTTTGAGTAAAGAATGAGGACTTTGAGTGTCGAGCCTTTTTTTTAAACAAGAGCTGCTGAAGAGTTCATAAACTTTAGAAGGCTTCACAATGAGCAGATTACATTAACATAAATTGTTGACAAGCACGCCACTTTTATGAATAATTCAACCCATCTTTGCCCAGAGCTACAGACAGTGGAAATAAAAAGGGTAACAAATGCACAAAAAAGTATTAAAGATCAAAAGCCCTCAAAACCCGAGAAGTAATCGATACATCCTGTGACAAGCCTAAAGGTCTCTACAGTACCTGCAAACAAGAAATCTACATTTCTATGGATCATTAATGCGAAGAAGATCTACTGAGTAGCAGAGGAGCTTTGCAGAACTGTTCTTTGCCGTCTGGGGTAGCTACAGTGCTCCATTGTCTCTACTGAAACCTGAGACCAAGAAAAGGAGCACTAGATACAGCAATCATCGCTCAAAAGACTTCTCTTGTTTGCTGAGCCCACCAAATTTAATAACCTACAATTTAACTATTGCAATTGTCTCTTTCTGGACACAGTGGCAACTATTGTGTAACAGATTTGAAAATCATTGTCAGCATAATGTATGCTGAATAGAGATGTAGTATTGAGAGCTGGGCCCTGTACTACGAAGCGAGTTCAGCATACCCAGGGTATCCTTCGTTATCCAGATTTACTCACCCTAACACTGGCGTTCGGGGTAAGTGGTCACACTAAGCTGGTTATTAACTCACTAAGTTAGCCCAGGACTTCCTAATCGAGGTACACGTGAGTTCACATGAAAGAGGTGGTGCTGGTAATGTCTGATCACATTGATTAGTGTACTAGTAGCTGATTTTACAAAGAAAGAGTAAACTTTAAAATAAGAAAAAATATGAAGAGGTTACATAAATGATGTAAGTATTTGTATCCACTTTTATTAGAAAGCTATTATTAAAGTGTAGCCACTTGTCTGAGTTAACAGATAAAAAATATCCCATTAAGATATTGGAGAATCTGATGAGCTGTTATCAACTATTCCCATCAAATTAGCATAAGACAGTTATAGTTTTCATTCTCTCAGCTGCAATCTGTGTCTTTTAAGTATTTAAGAGTAAGTTTAAATACAACAACAGAATTCAAATATAGGCTTAGTCTATGTACAAATTTGAAATGAGGTTAGAAAGTGCAGTATAGGTGTCCTGTTTTAGGATCGTATATTACTGACTAACACTTATCAAAGAGAAAAATTGTTGCTGACAAATATGGGAATGAATCTAGATTTATCACCGATGCTCATCAGCTAACACAAAGACTTTAGACACTACTGAAAAACTTTAGAGCCACCTACTCTACCCACAGAGGGATTTTTCAGGAAGGGTGATGCCAGTTTCCGAAGAACTGCCTGGTCAGTAGGTGGTGATTTCATACCTGCTGATCTCTAATCAGGAACCTAACCTGTTCCGGAGCAGGTTAGGGTTAAGGGTTAAACTTCAGAGCTAATCCAGAAGTTACCCAGATAAGATTAAATCCTGCTTTGTAGTACAGAGGTCACAAGACCAATTCTTTGGTAACTTTCATTGTCACAACCCAAAAAAAAAAAAGTTTGAACCAGTGATTGTACTGCTTTATAAGCAGGCATATACATATTGTAAATAATAGTAAGATCATTCCAACAATATGTATGCATAAAATTGCAATCAAAGATTTGAAACACATTTTTTTAGAACTTGCACAAATAGACAATGTTCTCATAAAATTAGGCAAAATTTTCAATTTTGGGGATTTTCTGACGTCTGATGTAATAATGTTAAATAAATGGTAAATGGCCTGTATTCGCTTTACATAGTCTCTATGGACCCCAAAGCACTTTAGACTACATTCATCCACCCATTCACACACTGGTGATGGCAAGCTACATTGTAGCCACAGCAGCCCCGGGTGCACTAACAGAGGCGAGACACTGGTGCCACCGGGCCCTCTGACCACCACCAGTAGGCAACGGGTGAAGTGTCTTGCCCAAGGACACAACGACCGAGACTGTCGGAGTCGGGGCTCGAACCGGCAACCTTTCGATTACAAGACGAACTCCCAACTCTTGAGCCACGATCGCCCTTAAGTGTAAGTATAAAATAAGTATAAAAAGTTAAGATAGATGAATATCACCGATTTTTCAAAACATTTCAGGTTGAAAGCATTCAGAGACTTTTACAAACTGTATGATGCACTTCATGGCAGCATACATACTTGAGGAAGTATCTCTGGCCAGAGGCAGTCTTGGCCATCTCCCACCCATCTGGTAGGGGCAAGTCATCAGGAATCTCATAAGAAGACTGACGAAGATGTTGAGGAGAGGCCCCTGTTGAGCCCATGCCAGACAGTGAGCCACCAGAAACAGCTCCTAACTGCAAGGAAGCAGGGGATGAGTGTGCACGGACATGGTGAGGGATGAGGACTCCGCCACTCCCAGCATCGGTGCTGGCCTGTGTTGGGGTTGAGAGACAACATGGTCAGTTTTCTTTGGGGAGTTTGAGTGAAAACCCTCACTTAAAAACATCAATTATCATGTAATAATTAAAAAAGGCAATGTGCAAATGTAACGACAAATTAAACATTTATGAAAGAATTTTAAAAACATGCGGCTTTGTTTGTTTCAAATACAAGTGCAATAATGGATTGAGGAACGAAAAACAGAACACAGTCTTAATTTAGTGACAGTGTGTACTAGTCTACATAATTTCTACCTATTTAATATTTGAGTCACTCCTTATAATTTGTAATCACTTTAAAGTGTATATAAATTCTATTCATGCGCATGTGAAGGCATGTTTTTGACTTATTCGGGTGTGGGAGGTATCCAGGGCCTGCCACCAACACGCATGCGCACTAATTACAAAAAGTCCTCAGAGTTATGGGGAGCGACCGGGAACTTGGAAGAGCTGGAAATGGAAGAAGGGATCGGGGAGGGGCTGTGGGTGAATATAGGATAATTTAACCATCATATGATTTCCTGTCAGCAAATCAAGTTGTTTACATTAAAAAAAAGTCGGATTCGAAATTTAAGATGACACGAACATGACGGTTATCCGTCTGCAAATAGCTATACATGAATTATTAACCAAACCATCCCTTATTATTTTTACATTGTCACTCATCTATTCACAATTTATTCTAAGTTAAGCAATATTCATCGGTTTTCTTGGTTACTTACGGCCAAAGACTGCAAGAGAATGTTTCCGCCGTTTTATAAAGCCCTTACGGCCTTTACTGTTTTAATGTTTGGGTTTTTTTCTCTTTTGTTTTGTTCTTTTGCTGTGAAATGTGTTAAATGGAAATTAAATGCAGTTTGAGGGAGGGGGGGGAAACAACCTATCAATGGAAATGCACATTCATTTAAGCAGGTCAATACAAGTCCGCCTGAATAAGGTTATTATATCTTAAAGACTAAAAAAGTGTGTTCAAAGATGACTGACCAATAAAACAATAACGCTGAAGGCTAAAAATGGCACCAGAGAAGGATGAAGTAACTATTAACTAAGTGCCAGTCACGTAGCTCTTGAAGGCCGAAACTCGACAAGATGGGCCCTGCTTTTTAGTCGTGATTTCTGAGTACGGGAACAGTAAAAACCAGGGCGGGCTTACTTGTCTGGAATGAGACTTTGGTTCTGGGGGTTTGAAGAAGGAGTCTGGCAGTTTCCTCATCCTCATGGGCACAGAGTGGGGCACGGTATTGACTTTCGGGTTCATCACAGCGTTAAAAAGCGCCTCTAGGTCAGTCTCAGAGTCGCCCCGTACATGGACGATTTGGTGTCCGGCAGGAGGGTTGTGCTGGCTCGGATCCATTGTCCCAAAACAGTCTTCGAACTTTATGTCCCAAAAAAGTTAGGCTTCGGAAGTTAAAAAATAAACGTGAGCCAATCCCAAACTTTTTTTCCACGCCGGGAGAAATCTGAAAATCTCGACGACACTCAGTAAAAGTTATTCGGAGTCATTCTAAACTTTACAAGTCGAGCACTTGATATTCTTCCAAAGTGTGTTAGCTGTCGAAATCTGCAA